CACAGTTAATGACCTGTGCTATGTAGATGTCCTTTTTTCTCAACCAAACAAAATTTTTATTGCAGATCTACATCAGCCACAAGAACCAAGTGCCCATGCTCATGGGACCCCCGTCTAGCAAAAAGTCCAAACTGTTCAAGATATTTAAGAAATAGTGAGTACCTTTCTTTAGTGTGTTAATCTGCCGAACAAAACTACTTTCACTGTAGATGCAGTGGAATCTGCTTAAAGCGAAATCTGCGAGACCACAGGATTTTCTCCAGTTTAGCCGTGCTTTCAGTGTACAGTGATTACTCAAAAAAATGAAGAAAAAAAATTGATTGTTCTATTTTCTTTTGGTTTACCGCTGTTTTCGGATTAGTCATGTTTGGTTTAAGAGGACTCCGCTGTATCAGTTTATATTTAGAGTATAACACGGATTGCTCAAATTTGTCGGGACTGTCTTCAGTAGTTCGAGGGATCCATAGTTGGAGGGATACGTGAACATTGTTATGGCATCAGCTGTGTCAGGAAATCAAGGGGGAAGGGACAAAGATTGGGTTGGAACAGAGATTTTTCTTTTTTTTTGGCCATTGTCCTAGATCAAAAAGATTAGATCTATGCCTTTTGACTTAAATTTGAAATTTGAGAGAATCTGAAATTGACAGATTGAAAATGAGAAAAGCGAAGAGCAACGAGTTTGATCAGTAATGAGCCTACTGGTACCAAGTCCAAGACAGTTTAATCGCACGGGTCAGTGTGAGGGGTCTTTAGTGTGCACCAATCGAATGGTGTGTTTTCAAATTTTTCAAAACTTAAACAATTTGACAAGATAAGTATGTCGCAAAAGTAATCAACAACGCGATGACGAAACAATACAGCCCTACCACACCTCTCCCACCAAGTGCGCAGTCCTTTGCAAAGAGGGGTGGGGTCCCCAATCGTGTGATGCACAACCCTTCTTCTCGCTCGCTCCACTCAGGCCTTCTAGGTTTAGGACCTAGGCATGCACAAAGGGCACGTGTGTCGAGCAGCGCACAAAAAATAGCACAGGGGGGAGGTGGTATTTCACCGACCTTGCCTTTTTCTGTTTTTATTGTTATTATCAATATTATTTTGTCTCAAATGCACCTCAAAGGACATTGAATTTAGACCTCTACGGCAGTTGGATTTGTTCAACTATTCCGTGTTTGTGTTCAAGCTTCACATAATTTTCTTACAAAGATAAAGAAGAAAAGAAAGGGGACCAAAGGCACAGTTCAACGGATGCATGATTTCGAATTACCTGTGCATGACATATCTGGGTTATACTGTATGTTACTTTAGTTTAAGAATTTATGGGGTTTTCAGAATTTTTGGGGTTCTTTTGTTTGCAAGCGTTATTATATCTTTGTTGGAATGTATGTCCCAAAAGTAGTGGTTGTTGTTATTGTTGTGGTGGTGGTGGTGGTAGTTGTAGGAATAATAGAAGTTCCAGTAGTAGTCAATGTAATAGAAATAGTATAAAAATGGTTGTAGTATCAGTTGTAGTAGTAATAGTGATTTTAGTTGTAGCATTAGTCATAATTGTAGTGTTGGTGGTGGTAGAGACAGGAGTAGTTTTGTTGATGTTAGTGATTCTATTCTTTTTATTATAATAATGATAATAATAGCATTTGTATCGCGTAAATTTCCCCTCAACTGCAAGCCCTATGCGCTTTACAATCTATAATATTGCCCCAACAGACCTAATTGTATTCTGAAACAATTTCAGCTTCCTGAGAAGCATACAATACATTTTCACATTTCTTGATTTTCTTTTGTAAAGTCCTTAGCTGGAAGTACTGATTGGTTGGGGGGTTCTTTGTTTTGTTTTTTTAGATAATCTTATTTGCTATGATTTCTCGATGCTCTGATGGCAAGTTTCTTGTCTTTTTAAAAACTTTTCCGTTTCCCTTCTGCAGAGAATGTAGGCTGAGGGTCACAGAGTGCAATGTGACTCACAGCTTGAGCATACTGTGGTGTCTAATGTTGCTCACACAGCACCAGACCGGCCACAGCACCAGACAAGCACTAAACACAACAAGCACTTGACTAAGGCCAGCCCCAAACCAGCACCATACACAGACTGGCTTACCACTAAGGCAAGCTCGGGACCAGCTCCAGACTAGCACCAAATCAGCCCCAGATGAGCCTCAGACTAGTACCAGTCTAGCACCAGACCAGCCCTTGACCCAGTCTAGCACCAGACCCAGACTTGTACCAGAAGGGTCCTTGACCCAGACTAGCACCAGACCCAGACTCAGACCTAGACCTGAATCGCATAACCACAGCCACCCTGCCCTACATCTTCTTACCTCAGCACCAAAAACGTCAGCTTCAGGAACAGTCTGTGAAACCACATTGGCCAGCATAACACGGAACAGGAACCCCATTTTTTTTGCACATTGATGATCCTAAGCCCATACCATCAGAGTCTTAAATAGAAATCTATCTTTACTCTACCCAAAAACTGTCATATGAAAATCTCAATGTCTTTTTCCATCTCCCTCAAGGACACCCTGGCTTTGGATTTAATCTATGAGACCGGAGCTTGTATCTTTAACCAGAAATATTCAAACTGGGAGTCTACAAGAGAACTATTTAGAATTTGATAGTCTTGGCAGGAAACCATTCAAAGTCTGCAGAGTCCCCAAGTCAAACTCTGTGTTTATATCAATGAGTGAAAAATGTTGAAGGGGAAGGGTTTTTTAATTCTCCCATTTGAGATTTTGCTTTTGATGAGTAAAGAAAAGTTTACGGGAGCAGGTTGTCAGAGTTCTCCTCCTGAGGTTGCCCATGTAAGCTCGGTCTCAGCACTCAGTGTTTTGTGTGCTCCTGATATATCCTTCCAGAACCAGCCCCCCCCCCCCCCCCCCAGCCTGGTCAGTCTATGCAGCAATGTTTCCCCCTCAACACCCCACCCCCCCCGCCCGGGGGGGTATTTCGGGGGGGGCCAAACCCCCCCCCAATTAAGGGAAATTTGGTGGGAATGAGACCCACCTTCATCTCTTTGACATACCCCCCCCCCCCCTTCTCCGCAGTGTTTAGGAGTTGTGGAAGTCTTGAATTTTTTCTCATTTCCTTTGTGTGTGGGGGGGGGGGTAAAAATTTTTTTTAAAAAAAAACAAAATGGTCCCTCTCTTTGAGTCAGTGTGCTGTTCATTCAGGAGACAGTGTGGTGAAATCAGGTGTTTGTCAAAACAATGAAATCAAAGAAGCGAGCATTTTTCTGGCTGTTGGGCAAAAAAGAATTTTAATGTTCTTTTTTTTTTTTTAGTCAACACCTTTTATGTTCATTTAACAACACATTTCTATCCCTGTTTTCAAGAACATTTAAGCTTTAGAAGTCACTAAACTTTGGCTGTCAATTTCTTGCTTATTTTACCTCTGACACCAGGAAACCCCCACCTACTTCAATCGAAAATACCTTGATTTCTGTGCAAAATAGATGGGTATATTTTTCATCAAAAGCAAAACAAATGAAAAAAGCTTTAAGATGATACCGGGAACTCCATATGCCCAAAAATTGACAAGTGCCTGATTCCACCACATCATGACTCATATATATCTGATTTCCGGAAGTATTTTGAATTTGCGAATTATCTGTAAATTTTCTAATTAAATCTCTTCTGAGAATGTCCTTGATATAGGTCTACATGTAGCCTGGTAAGACTCAACGCGCAATAATATAATAATTACTTTGGGTGTCCTACGTACTATGCTATTGCTTTTTGTACAAAGGGCTGGACAAGGTGAATGATATTTCACCTGACTTGTGCTGCTCATACCAATGAATATTTACTGTTTTCTGTATCTGCATGTGTCAGATACTCAGGTAAACAGCTTGTTTTGAAAAAAGTGGCCATGGACCTTTGAAGATGAATCGCTTGCTCATTTTGTTGCAACTAATGCGAATTAAGATACAAATTTTTCTGTGTGGATGCCTCTTGAGTTAAGTGGACATGCCCACATTTGTCTGAACCTTCTTTTTGGTTAGACTTTTCTCAAGTTCTTGCATAAATGAGTCCTGTGATTCTTCTAGACAGTTACATTGGCTGTTTTCTCAGCTGCTTACACTTATGGTGTGCTTGTCTCTATCAGCTGTTCTGTCACTTGGGCCTGTGTGTTGTACCTTCCTCTGGAGTGCTCTCAAACTCTGCTAGAAAACCTCCGGCTTTCATGACTTCTCAACAAGACACACTTTCTTCCCACACGTATCTGGAAGATTCTCAACATCTTATTTGAGGCACTCTGAGAGAGACCAATAACTCTGTTTTGACTTTGTTTAATGAGAAGAGGAAAAAAAATCATTGGAGTTGCTCCTCTTCTTGCAATAGCAATGAAGTAACGATATGTGTCTGATGTACTCGCTCAATTTGATAGCTGTTTTCAGGGGCAGCAGATCATTAATGGTAAACCTTGCCAATTACTGCCGGAACTTGTAGTGAAACGTAAGGAAGAGTCTGGCTGTGTTCTGAATGAGGTGTGCCGCATATTGTCTTTACATTTTTTGAAGAGTTTGGTCTCTAGGCTGTCCTGGGATATGTCTCTGCTTTGCCACAAACTTATATTGAATCAGTAGAAAATTCCAAGCTCAAGAATCACATAGCGCTGATAAAACTGCCAACGTTCTGAACATATTTTTTATTTGGGGTGGGGTGGCATTAGAAGATAAAGAATTGAATGTTAAAAGTGATTTTCAAGAGAAGTTTTTATATGTTCCATTATATATTGACTGTAAAAAGATCTGCTGAGGGATTTTTTTGTCCTCTTGCCACTCCGAAATTTATTTTTCTTTTCATGTAGTTGTTAATCTTTGCATGAAAGCTGAATTGCCTAAGGCATTGGGAGCCTTACACGAGACAGACATCAGCTCTATAAAAATTGTATTGGTGTAGATGTGTAATGTGACTTGGTGATAATAGAAAAAGGGGTGTCTGACACACAGATGTGTTGACAGATAGTTGGCCGTCTCCTTTCCCATGACAAAAGAAAAAAACTCTTGGAGGTTGGATGAGAAATGATGTGTGAATCTCAGAGTTTATCACCACCCTCCCCACCTCCCCTATCCCATCATGTGTTACTCGTCTGCTGCTGCGCTTGACTCAAATTATGTCACTCAAACTTGCATGCAAAACACATCTTGCTGTCAAGATATGTGATGTTATCAAGACTGTAATGAATGTATTGGCTCGTTACTTAAAGATTTTGTGAATAGATAATGTTTGGTAAAAAAAACAAGTTAATGAAGCAGTTCCAGTATTAGAATCAGCCTTACAGAGAATATTTATTATTCTTTTGTGTAGAACAAAGTATAATTTTATCGGAGATTTGAAAAAGTTTATTTATAGGCAAGTATTCTGGTTCCCCAGCCAAAACTTTATAGACTGTGGTATTTCTTTCTTTTTCTTTGTACATATTCTGAAGTCTTTGTTGACTCTTTTCTGGCTGTAATGATTGCACTACGCATAAAGCACAGTTATACGTTACCTGGTGTCCAGCACTGTATATGTTTTCAGGCGTGTAGAACGGTGATCTCTCAAACGTGTAGCACTGTGTGTGTTCTCAAGTGTGTCGCACTGTGTGTTCTCTGTCCCTCTCCCTCACTTTCACCTCTGCAAACCAAAGATACCAAAGTGCCCATACTCTTCTTCTTCTTTTGTTTTGTTGTGTTTTTCCTCCGTGCATTAGCTGACCACCTCGCAGCATGCTAGTGGACCAACGTGTAACGAGGGACCGCCGCATTACAGCACACTTGTAGAGCATTACGTAACAAGTGATCGCCTCCTTTTCCTTTAGCGCAGACCCTCGATCGGCACCAAGCACTTCTCCATGTTTTGAGGAAAGTCTTGAGGGGAAAGAGTTCTTTTCAGTCGATATTCTTACTCTTACATGTGTAAGAAAACCGTTACAACTAGATGACAGAACAACAGTCTGAGGTGACTGTTGTATTCACTCTGTAAATCTGTTGTTTGTGTGGTCTGCTCTTTCTATTTCTTTTTTTTTTCATGTCATTCTCGTGCTTATCTGATTGCTGGTGCAATGTGGCCGATGTCGCTTTGACTCGCTCTATACTTCAACTCAACTTTGTGGCTATTAAGGAAAATTAACCCACTGAAGTTTTTAAGACAGCGATGAAGAGAATTATCATTGTCTCAAATTGACCAAAAAGTGACTTTGGCTTTGGAGAAAAGGTTAGTGGAGGAAGTGAAGATTGCATTGTTTTATTTATGTGTTCTAAAGATAACTGGATCCGAGACGGGTGTGAGTGTGTGTGTACTGTTACTCTGACTAGCGTCTTCGGTGTAGTGGTTAGGCCATCCACCTTTGCCTACAGCAGATGTGAGATTGATACCTGTGTAGGGATGAACATGTACATCGAGTACGTCTGTCTCCTGGGATGTTTTGTCTCACTCCAAGTGGGTAACGAGTAATCTTGACAGAAAGGGTTGAAGCAACTGGCCTCTGAAAACAATTTAAATTTTGTCGATATGGGCGTAAAACGTTTTCAGTTGACATGACTATGACTCGATTACAAGACCTGGTATGATATCCATCTTGACGTTTTTCTCTCTGTGTGCATAAAACCTGGTGAGACCAGAACGGGACAAAAGGAATGTAAAATGATACATGTTCCTCAAGGAGTTGTGAAGGACGCAATGTTATGATTTGAGGGTTTTTTAAAGACTGACTGTACATTTTTCAAAGTTTCACGATTTTCTTCTAGTTGTCAGTAATTATTTTTAGGATTTCCTGCTATTGATCACTGAAATTTGCCTTTCTTTATATCTGCTCAACATTTGCCTTGATACACACTTGCTTTATATTGATAGTGATGTTTTTCTCGCCTTTTTTCCTACTCTCTGTGCTAGTATTTTGGTGTGATTTTTGTTTTTCTGTGACTCTGTTTGCTTTTTATATTTTTGTTAACAGTAAACTTGTTCCTAATCAGAACCTTGTATTATGAAACCCATGTTTGGTTGGTTGTCAGTTTTGTTGCTGGGTTGGGTTTTTTTGTTGTTTTTAAAAAAAAATTTTTTAAAAACTTACTTGTGTGTTCTTGTGTGTTTCCCTGAATGGAAGTTTCTTTAGACCAGTGGTTCTTAACCTGGATTCCTTTGAATTCCAGGGTTTCATTGAGTCAATCCTAAAGGTTTGGCAGAGATCGAGACACTCGCCCGTGTGGGTATCCATTCCGTTCAGGGAATGCACTTATGAAACTTGCAGTGCTGGTACCTGTAAGGTTAAGAACCACTGCTTCCTACCTTCGTAAACCTTTATTATAAGGCCCAGTCTTGTGATATCTTGATGGTAACTGTGAGATGATGTGGACTTTCCTATGCTGTTGTGTTTCTCTCCCCTAGTGTCCCAGGGGTGTGTGGTGGGTGTCACTGGCTCGTCCCTCTTCCCTGCCAAGAGTTTCTTTTTTGTATAAATATTTTTAAAAGTCCCCTCCCCCC